ATTTCTGTGCTGTGACTAGATAGACTGAAAAGTAAACATAATATATGGTTCTGGACTGGATTCAGGAAAAATTATATGAAAGGTATTAGGACAATTGGCAGAATTTGAAAATGAATTTCATTTTTACACATAATATTAGTTGATGTATGATTTAGTCCGATTCCAAAGTGTGATCACTGTATTGTAGTGATATAAGAGAATGCATTGTTTTTAAAGCATATGCACATCTAATTCTTTAGGGACAATAGGGCATGATATCTTCAATCTAGTATCAGACTGAGAAAAGAACAACTCAGACATGTTTGTGATAATGAAACCTCAGTGGGAGAAATAGAAAGAAGAAGCAGTTAACAAGTGTACTTGAAGGGTAAGGACATAAAAATTATTTAGAATATTGTAATTCATCTATAAAAAGTCTGCTAATTCTTATCATATCCGTAATACATATATATATATATATGTATTATGTACTTCAGTTTGAACTCGAGGCTGCATGCTTGCTAGGCAGGCACTTTACCACTTGAGCCATACCTTAGCCCATAACCTCCATAATATTTAACGATAAATTATTTCAGTGTTCAAGTTTGTTTTTTGGAGCCAAGCCCTATACCCACATAGAAGACAAACAGATAACCTCTGCTGTACTATCATGTAGACTTTCCCACATAAAGAGTGGCCATCAATAATTATTCTACTTTATTTAAAAATAGTTAGTAATCTTGAGGCAGTGACATAAATACTTTCAAAGATATCTTTAAAAACATATGCCTGAGCAAAAACCCTTGTTCCTTCCTATTATGGCTTATACTCTCTCTACAACAAAATTAGAAATAAGGGCAAAATAGTTTCTGCTGGGTATTGAGGGGGGGAGAGGGAGGGGGCAGAGTGGGTGGTAAGGGAGGGGGTAGGGGCAGGGGGGAGAAATGACCCAAGCCTTGTATGCACATATGAATAATAAAATAAAAGAAAAGAAAATACTAGAGGAAAAAAAACCAAACATATGCCTGTATATACAAACATGTGTAATAATTCCAGGGATCCACTGAAGGCCTTTCACAGATCAAGGCAGTTCTGAAGAGTTAATTAAAGAAGAAAGCAACATTTAAAAAACGCTTTATGGACAGGAGGTATTGATCAAGCAGTAGAGCACCTGCATTGCAAGTGGAAACCCTGAGTTCACACTCCCATTTTCCCCCCGGAAAAATATTCTAAAAAACACTTTATGATGCTAACTGCTATTTAGCATGCTATAATTTACTAAAGTACTATTATCTTGCAAACTGTACTAATTCCCATACTATTATTCATTATTTCACATACTATTTATTGCAGTGTCTTAGATTAGTTATAATCTACTTACTAACTATAGTTTGTTTAGGATTATTGTCTTTTTATCAGATCACAATACAGAGTTGTCATAAATACAAAAAATTACTAAATTGCCTGATTCAACAGATTAGTAGTGCAGATTCAAATCATAAATTTATTTTAGACATTAAAATTTTAGCCTGACACCTTAATCTAATGTCAAATTATGTAACCTCAGAATTTCATACAATCCACAAGAATCCATTTTTAAATATTCATCCTGGAAAATGGATTTCAGCAGAAAATGAATTTGAAACTTCAAGCTAGCCATGTTTGGAAGGACATGCTAGTATTTACAGTTGAGTATAACACATATTTTTTTTAGCAAATTATAGCAAATAAGCTGTAAGACTTAATAGCTTCTTTATGGCATAAATCACAATCTCATGAAAGTATTGGTAAAAGAAGATAATGTGGCAAAATGTTCACTCTTTCTCTGATTTACTACTCATTTATTTTTAAAATACCTGTGCAAGCTAAGAAAAGGAAGCAGATTTAATGAATATTTTCTCAATGAAAAGACACTTCATCAAAGTCAAAAATCTCTACATAACTTTTTAACTAAAAATGTTCATCACTAGCAAAATCATTCAATGTTAGGCAAGCTAATTATAATACATAACTGGTATTGAGTAGCTGAACAATTCTTTCAGTCCTAAAGCGTGTGGTCACTTCAAGATGCAGTAAGGAGAAGAGCAGATTAGTCTGTGATAAGAAAACCTTCAGATACCTCATTTAAGAGCCAACACCTAAGCTTAATGGATGGATACATAAGAATTTACCAGACCTTCATCTGGGCAGAATCTATTCCTTCTGACTGCTCAATTTATAAGAATTTAGTTTTGAAGGAAGCATTTAGAAAATAGGAATCTATGTGTCCATTTCTTATAATACTAGATTCATCTTCTTACTCCAAATCACCTGATAAATTAGTGGCAGAAATATGATAGACAACTGGGTTATTTGACTCCCAGTTCTATCCCTGATGCACTCTGCTTCATTCTTCTGTTTTATGTGAACAGAGTGTGAGGCTGTTAAAATATATGTATTAGAGACTTTCCATCTTTAACAAGTTTAAATAACAATACAAAATGTTTTCCTCTTTGAAAAAGCTGATTCTTCTAATGTATATGTCACAGTTATTTAATGGAGAAAAGAAAAATCAAAGAAAATTAAAATTTTATGATACATCCATTCTTGTTACTTGTCTCAAAGTGTGCACTACATATTTTAAAACATTTTTGAAGATTTATAAAGAAATAATCCACCTTACTTGCTTTAAGAAACTGATTTAGATAATGAAGAATTACTATGCTATTAAAATTTATTTTTAAACCAAAATTTTAAATAATACTCTCAACTCTATCAATTGCAAAAGAAGTAATGAGTTATTTCTAACTTATTTTTTGGTGGTATGTTACTGATTTAACAAAAAGGGGTAAGTACAAGGAAATCTAGTTAATTGTACAAGTAGAAGGGGCAACAAGGTGTCAGTGGGCATGACCACAAAATTTTGATCTAAGGATATTATTTCTTTACTATTATTTCTTTACTAAGAGTCATATGCTGAAATACTGACAGCAAATCAAAACCTAGCCATGATTTCATTTCCATTTTAATTAACATGAAGGTCTATCTGTATGTATTTTAGAATAAACTTTATTGAAGATTCTTCCTCATTACCTAAATTGATAACTGCAGTTCCAACTCTCACAATACAAGCAGGAGTTTTCTGTCAAAATTAAGTGCACAGAAACTCCTGTAATAATTTGTCAAGTATGAATTATAAAAGTCAATCACTATAAGTAACAGTTGACTACTATTAAGCTGCTTTACTTCCTTGCTTTTTAAAGTATGATCACCAGCATCCAACAAAGTACGTTAGAAGTGCAGAAACTCAAGCCCCACCCCAGATGCACAGACTTATAATTTACATTTCAAAATGGTCTGTGAGTGTATAGTTTGGAAAGTATTACTTTATATTTGGAGAAGGAAGGAGAGGAAAGGATTGAGTGCTCATCAGTGTAATCATATCTATATTTTCTCACCTAACTACATATGTCACAAGGTAAACAATATTAATACTATTTGTCAGGCACTGTGTGAAGACATATTTATTTTTATGATTAAATCTCAAAACAAACCCATCTGATGGGAACCGGTATTGATATTTTACAATGAGAAAACTCAAGATTTTCAGAAATTGTGTAAAATTACAAGTTCACACAGATAGCAACTTGTAGGAAGCAATCTGACTTAAGAACTTGTACATTTAATTATATTGGTGGGTTTGTGGAGATTCCATTTTGTATCAATATCTGGTGAAATTTTTTTGAATGAAGAACATATAAATTATACAAAGACACCAATGGAAAAAATTTTGCCCTGGGGGGGAAAAAACCTTACAGTACACAATATAAAATAGTCTAAGTTTTCAAAATGCCCTATATTCACTAACGTGTGGATTTTAAAATGGCAAAACATGCAATGAGAAAATCAAGCTAGGTACAAGAACTGGCTACTCATAAACTAAATGAAATGTCAAGAGTGAATTCTAAAGCTCTTAAAAGTTTTCTCATAATCACATTCATTTTATTTATTGTGGGAAGATACATGTCTCTCTTATTCTGTAAAGGAAGGTATTGGATAAGTACTTTTAAATTTTAAATTACAACAGTGGTGGCTGAGACTCAAATAATGAACAAAAAAATAAAGGAAATATTACAGTGGTTTTATCTTCATATTAATAACTAATATGATTAGAAACAGCTGGCATTTACTGAACACTTTCTTATATGTAAGACTGCCACAAGATGATGTTTAATAACTTAATCTTAATTTTGAAATAATGAACAGCTTTATCCAAATGAGTAAACAAACTGTTAAGTGTTGGCTCCGAGAATTAAACCTAGGAAGGCTGGCTCCAGTTCTCACAGTTAATTCTTGCTGTCTAACTTTAGGAAAAGCTTCCTTCCAGGTTTCTTCTCTCTTCAAGACAGACGATACATATAATTTTATCTTTGAACTTTTTAGCGATGTATATAATCATCTCTTTATAGTCGCACTGACTTAATGGTTCTATAAGTGAGATAAATGCTTTAGGTTTATTTGATCAATATATATGAATTATGCCTTTAGTGTCTAGTTCCGATTTTTTTTTACTCAAAAAAAAAAAAGACTCAAGGATAAACTATACTGTAATTTGCTTCCTTACACCATCTAGTGGAATTAAATGACAACTGCGACAGTAAAATAAATAATTACAAGGCAATCATATAAGAGAAAATTTTCAGACCTTATGTGGCAACTATTCATTTAAAATGATATTTCGTATAACTCCACAGTGCACTATGATTATTTTTCCTCTTTTTTTTGGAGGAAATCAATTAAACATTGATGAATTCATTAGCGAATGCTTAAATCTAACAAAATGACACGAAATAGCACCCTTGCAATCTTTCCACAGAGATAATGACAGCCAGGCACCGCTCAGTTCTTCCCATCCATTCTTAATAAAGCCAAAAGCTCCAAACGTAGCTGCGCGTTAGAAGCCCGACCCGGCTGCGCGGAGTCAGTGCGCATGCGCACGGAAGACGGAAGTGGGGAGGCGGGGCCTATCGATTTGGGAGCGGAAAGGGCCCGTTCGGCTGGTTGAGACGCCGAGAACGTTTGTCGGTGAGTCGGCCCTCAAGAGCCGCTCAAAGCCCATAATCGGTGGACGTCACAACAAACCGAAAGACGTGGGGTTCCGGAGCAGTAGCTGCTGCCGCTGCTCTGTCACTGCGGATTGCGTCGTCTCCGCCCGTCGCCTTTGTAGGACGCGTCCCTGAGAAACGTCCAGGCCTAGGCGCGGCCCGCCGAGCCCGACGTGTTGCTGCCGTGAGTAAAGCGAGCGCCTTCTCCACGGGCGGTTTGCAAGTTAAGATGGAGGAAATTTCGTTGGCCAACCTGGATACTAACAAGCTAGAGGCCATTGCTCAGGAGATATACGTAGACCTGATAGAGGATTCTTGTTTGGGATTCTGCTTTGAGGTACATCGGGCAGTCAAATGTGGCTACTTCTACCTGGAGTTCGCAGAGACTGGTAACGTGAAGGATTTTGGCATTCAGCCAGTGGAAGACAAAGGAGCGTGCCGCCTCCCTCTCTGCTCCCTTCCTGGAGAACAGGGGAATGGGCCTGATCAGCAGCTGCAGCGCTCCCCTCCAGAATTCCAGTAACTGCAACATGGCAGAGTCAGAGAGTGACCAGGACAGTCGTGTAGAATGGTCCCGTGGCCTGGAGGAGTAAGCTTAGTAGGGGGAAAGAAAAGTAAATCAGACAAAGGTCCCAACTCTCCCCCTCCCCCCCCCCTTGAAGATCCTAGCAATTCAAAATCCCAGAGTGGAGAATTTAGGAATTCGGATTCATTTTTAAGTGTACCTAGGCCTGAAACCTTGGGCGTAAGAAGGTGCACAGCTCGGGCAGCATGCAATGTGTGTTGATCTCTAAACACAGCTGGTTGTACACAAGATCCCTGTATTGCCCTCTCAGTGCACAGGTGAGCATGTGTGGGCCCGACATAAAAAATCCTTTTTGTTCCCATCTGCTTCATGTCAAGGACTTCTTGGACAGTTTGGACATTGGTGATGTTCAGGCCATTATCAATGGGCTTCAATGGGACGACTCCTCTGATTTCTATGCCTCTGATTTGGGCTTCTCTGATACAAATAAAAGGTATGAGATCTGGAGACTTGACAGTGTCAATTTGGAACAACCAAGGAAAAGATTTCCCACTCGAATTTGGTAGGGAAGCTCCTCAGTCTTGACTGCAAGGAGAAGAAAAAGTTCAAAACCACCTGTTTTCCAACATTTGCTATGATTTCAGCACACCTGGGGCCAGGCCTAGCCTTTGGCTGAACAGAATCCTTTTTCATTCCCTTCCACCAGTGGCTTAGGCTTGGCAAAGGACAACTTGCTTGTCCAGACAGGCAGAGAATTGAATTGTGATCCCATGGGGAGGTAGTAGAGACCTCTGCAAGTATACACTGTCTCCTACTGGAAGATTCCTATGTATTGTGGTGTGGACTTGTTTGGTGGGATAGTCCGTTACCACTCGATTTACTGGTGACATAGACAGTACATGGATTGACTTGGGTATTATGCCAGGTCACTACCTGCCTCCTACTGCAGGGGTGCTACTCAACTGTAGAAGAGCATGAGCCCAAAGGGGACCTCTTCCAGCTGCCCTCAGTAATGTGAATGGTTTAGTGCTAGGAGCTAAGTAGCGGGACTGGGTCATCTCTCCTCTGACTTTGTGGAGAGTCCTTCCTGTTGAATGCCCCTCTTCCTTGAGTTGGGCTGTCAGAGCTCTGCTATGGTGAACATTTAAATTTTCTCTGCCCTTCACAAGGGGTAATCTTTCCACTTGGTACCCTTTGGACTTCATGACAGCTAGAGCTGTCTTTTTGTTGTTGGAAGTCAGGAAAAGACCTCCAAATCCCCTGGCTTTATGGTATGAAATAGGAAAGGATTGGAAGTGAGAATGACATATCAAAATTGCCTTGTGTTTTACTCCCTGAGTGAAGGTTTATAAAGGGTGGGTGGGTGGGAGTCCTGAAATGAGTGGAATGGTGCTGCTTTATTTGAAATGTTTCTTACCTCATTCTGTGCCCCAGTAAAGGGCCCAGCCTCATTTGTCTGGCTTGGCCTATGTTCCTGTCCACTGCTCCACTGCCTTTTTGGTGCATTTCATAACTCCAGGTGCTGCTTGCCACTCTAGCTTTCACATTGACCAGTTTCAGTTCATCTCCCTTAGTGCTCTGGCTTCTTTCTGAAGCCTGCTCAACTTCTCCCTTTTATTTAAGTTTTTATGTTGTTTTTGTTTTAACCTGTTTTTATGGAAGGCTTAGAGGAGAATCTTATGGCTCCTCTTGTTTGGATTGGGATGGAAAACCTTAAATTTTTTTTTTTCTTTTTTTGTATTTACAAGGTAGCGTCATGCCTAAGCATATCTTCTCTATAGAAATGTCTCACTAGTATTGTCTTCATGAGTCTCCTGCTTTGTCTTCATGAGTTCTATCTTCCCACCTCCACTTGGATGGACTTATGCAGAAGAACATTAAAGTCTGACTGGCACACAGGGACATGGAGTTTGTCCTTATCCACTTTCTCTACATCTTCCTGTGTATGTATTTCCTTATCCCAGACAGAGCTATTTGGACTATATGGACTGATTTGTGTTACGTACTGTAGAGAGTTAAGGAAACCATAGTGATTGAGCCTTGAGACTGTCTGTTATTGCTGTATCCTCCTAGAGTTTTCCTCTTCAGGGTCAGGCCCTAAGTATAGATTTTTTTTCTTCAATCCAAGAATTTTGGTAACTTTGAAGAATAAAACCTTAGCAAGAGCCAAGTAATTTATAGTTATCTTTACCATTAACTTTTTTGTGAACATTTTTGTGAACATCTAAGAACACTGAGAAAAAGGAGTGTGTGAGACTGGCCTACTTCCTGTTTTGGAAACAGTAAAAGGCAATGGTTTACTCACTCATCTTTCAGAACGGAAATCAGATTGTGATGTTAATGTATTCTTTCTGTCTTTTTGTTAGAGAAGGAAGATGTGGGAAATGGTTTTATGTAATGGTTTGTTCACATAACTTACCCTTTTTTTGTTTTGTTTTGGTCCCCTTCTCACCACCACTATTAGGGTAATATAGCCCCTTGCCCTGGATAGGTACAAGGTTGATTCAGTTCATCAGGTGCCCTGAAGGGACAAACTTTCATGGTTGACAGTGGTTAGGAACTCTCCCTTTCCCTTCCTATCTTCCCTGTAACAGCAGAATTCCTGTCCTTCCCTCTTCTATTGTATTGATACCCTGTAATCCTGTTATGTATCTTGAGTGTCTGTGGGTGCGTGTGTGGGTGTGAGTGTGTGTGTGTATGGGGGAAAGGGGTTCTTTAAAATTTCTGTGGTTTGTGGCTTTTTCTTCCATACATTAGTTCCCACCACCGCATGCCCAGGGGCTACTGCCTGGCATTATCGCATGCTGGGATCATGGGGGAGGGTAGTATGAAACTCACCAGGATCCTTTGTTTTGGAGAGTCTTATTTTTGCATAAGTAATCCATCCTATACAGATAGCTGATTAACTCTTGTGTGTTTTCCTTGCCCCTATGGCTGCTGGTGTAAATAAACTGCATCTCCCCATTGCTAAACAGTAATAATAAAATTTTAAAAAATTACTTTATTTGGACTCTTCATTTATTAAAAGAATACTTTTTTGGTCATTGACCTAGTAAAATAAATTTGGAATTGCTATTGAACCTTAATACTTTCTCTTGAATGGGAGTTGTGTCAGAATACATAAACTGTATCCAGCCTTGTTTCTCAGTGTAGTCCTGCAAATTTAGATGTCTCCAGCATCCAGTGAAAGAAACAAACTGTGTACAATCTTCCCTTTTCCATTTGAGGTAAGAAGGTGGTAAACAATACAACCCAGGCCTATTACTAGAAATACACTGTAATAGTTCAGTTTGACTAGAACTATACTTTTTGCCATGATTTCAAGCTAACATGCTAGTTCTCTAAAGGCAAATGAGAGCAGAAAAAAAATTCTGCCTTTCTAGTGGTGACATTTTCTCCATTTTACCCCACTGATTTATGCTTTTTGTTTTTTGAGTAATCCTTAGGGCTTTTTTTGTTTCCTTGCTTTTTGTTGTTTTAAATATCTTTTAATTCATAATCCAGAATCTGAGTACCTCTAGACTTTTTAGGTGATGTTGCTTCCAAACTACCTGAAATATCTTTTTTATTAGATACTCTAATTCATTAAAAGTTCAAGTTGTAAATAACATTTAGATAAATAAAAAATTGCCAGGAAATGGGGCCAGGAAACACTCAGCAGGACAATTTAAGGAACCTCATAGACATGAAATATGGTATTGAGTCTTTTCTTCTAAGAGCACCAAATTTAACTGCCATTGTCAGGTTTAAACAAAAGACCAACAGAGTGATGATTGAAGTTGAGAAAACAAAAATTTGACCTCTAAAGTAAACAATGCAAGTATAGCAAGAGCAGTTCTTAAAATGAAATTTTCACCAACATTAATTATTTTGCCTTAAATCAGATTTCCCCTACTTACATTGAAATTCACCATAAGGATCACCTAAAATTCAACTGTAGCTGAAGCTAAAATTTTTGAATACTATTTTGTAGGTTTAGATTTGAGTTAATATATTTAGTGCTTAATTTTCTAAAATAAGGTAATTGTGTTACCTCAGTGCTTTGTAGAATACTTGACAGTAGGGCTTTAAAGTTCTTTCATTGTGTGTTTTCTAACTAATATGATCTTTAAAAAGAAAAGAGCTAATCACATAACCTTATTTAACTCAACATGTTTAACTTCCTACATTTAGTGTCTTAACTACAGCATGTTAGTCTCAAAATACTAATATCAGATAGCTTGATGTTCACAACAATAGCAGATGAAGTGTGCTGAAATAGGGATTTAGGAAGAACTTGCTTTGTACATACTGATTTCTAACAGTAGTGCCATCTGTTAGAGCCTCAGTTGTGTTTCTGATAATACATTTTTTAAAGGCGTTTCATGGCATGAAGAGAACATATCCATATGCTTAAAGCACAGTACTTATTAAACATCGTTTTTAAACTGATTATGATGTTTAAAATAATTAAGTTAACAAATGATCAGTTCTCAGGTTGCCTAGAGATAACTTTAGACTTTGGAAGTTTTATTGTGCTAGGAAGGTATAAGTTCTTTGATTAGCATTCAAGTTTCAGAAGGTGCTTTTGATGTTGCTTTATAGGGAAATGTTAAAACCATGTACTTGTAAGTTTTCAGGGTTTTGTTTGCTTTTGCTTTTCCATTTCTGAAAATTTTTCAGTCCTATTATTCAAGCCATATTGGAACATATGAGTTAAAAAAGAAATACTGAATTGATTTTAGAAATGAAAATGTGTTCAGCAGCAGTGACTTGCTCAAAGTTCCAAAACCAAAAATCTAGACGTGATAGAAAACAAAATAGAATGCTGATATGTATCTTTGAAATCATATAGATTTTAACTTAATAAATGAAAAGAATAAGTATAATTAAAGTAGAATGTACAATTGTGAAACTTATGATCAACTTTATTGCATGAACATGTAAACATAGAGGAAACTTGTTTTAAAAACATAACTCATCAAAAATGACAAAACTTTGTAATGTTTTAAGTAAATGAATAAATCTATAACTTAAGAACAACAATCCAATCTACCCCAATACATGAAAACACCAGTCAGAATTTTACAGACAATTCAAATAACCATCAAAAAAATATACTAAATACATTAATATAGATGAAAAACATGCAGTCATAAGTCAGGTTAATCACAGGAAAGCAAGATTAGAAAATTATATTACTATTAGAGAAAACACATGGAAGTTTCAATAGCTACAAAAAGATTAAAAATATTAATTAAAAAAGATGTTAACAATGAAAACAAAGGCTAAAGAGCTCCAATGTACCGATAAAGGGTGCATATAAAAATCTTCAATTACTATGCTTAATGATGAATATATGGAGGCAATTTGTTCAAAAGTAGGCATGGAAGAAACAAAATTCTCGTTTTTCTCATTAAATAGATAGGATACATACAGACTACAAACAAGTCATTGGAAATACTGAGAAAATAAAGTTTCTGGATATATATATATATATATATATATATATAGATCAATACCCAAAAGCAGAATTCTAAATTTAAAAAAATGTTACTTGTGGAATGTGATACAACAAATTATAATTGTTCTATGAACTAATATGAAAATCAAGATTTTCTGGAAAAATAATAAATTTTAATGGGTTGAAGTATTCCAAATAAGTGGAAAATTAGGATGTCTAAATAGAACATCCTTACTCCAAATACATGAATTGGAAACAGTCTTTATTAAAAATGCCAATGGATGTTTTCATGAAGTTTGGTAAACTAATTTTAAGAATTTTGTGAAACATCAGTTGTATGAATAGATAAGTTCTTACAACAAATGTGAATATCTCACATATTGTGGTTTTGGTGTAGAAACACATTGATGTCATTGTGATAAATATCTAAATTGATATAGTCAGTGGGTCATAAATATACATTATTCTGGAATAGATTATCCATAAATGCATAATAAGCCACTCCAGCTATGTAAATTTATTTGTATGCAGATTAAAGATTTAATGTAGAGAAATAAAATGTCAAATCTTCCTAGAAAAATGTAAGAAAATATGTTTGTAATTGTATATAAGGGAAGAATTTTTTAAAGTAACAAGCAGAGAAAAGATTTAGACCATAATTAAATCAAAACCTTTTGCTCATTAAATCATAGAAATAAATAACTTGATGTCATAGTTTTGCAGTTCTTATAGGAAATAAATTATTATTACACAATAACCTTACAATCAACAAATGTGCAAAATGAAAGAACAGCTCATTCTTACATGAAAACATCCAAATGGCAAAAAAAACGATGTGGAATATGTAAGTTCAGAGAAATGTGAACTAAAATGAAATGAGTTACCACTTTACATGA